GTATTTAGTATCTCCGTAACTTTTTAAGTAATTTGGTAACGTAGGTATCCAAGCGCATTTTTATCGGGATGAGTTTCACATACTCCCGGTGTATAGACCATCTAATGACTATTTTAAAATTATTTAAAACACGTTAAAGAGAGTGCATAGGTAACGATTGATATAGGTACCATCTTTGTTGATTACCTACGATTATTAATTTTTGACGGATAAATTTCCTCCTAGTGTCAAGAAGAGTCAATACCGTTAGCAAAGTAAAACATTATATAGAAGAAATAGTTCAAAAGAACCAAATCGATCTATAGGTATATGAAAAACTGTAGAGCAGCATACATTTTTTGAAAATTTGACAGTATACAAATGTCAATAGGGGCAACCCGGCTAAAATATTTTCAAGATAGTGGCACTTCCGGGATGGATTCTACGTAAAATTCTGAGCAGATTTCATGTGATATACCCTATACCTAAGGTAAACTGTTTTGGAAATATAGACAGTTGCAAATTGACCTTTCTGCAACTTTGACAGGCTGTAGAACCTAAACGATTAATTTTAGAGGGAACCCGATCTTACTTACATTCTTGTCTTAAATTTTCATAAACTATCATATGACACCAACTTTAAATTTAACCGGAGATTAAATTTGTCTCGAATTTTTGATCATGGATTAAATTTGAGATCGGTTTTTCCCTAAAATTAACCGTTTAGGTTTTAGAGCCTGTCAAAGTTTCAAAAAAAGTCAATTTTCAACTGTCAATATTTCCAAAACAGTTGAACTTAGGTATACGGTATATCACATTCAGCTCAGAATTTAACGTAGAATCCAAATATGAAATCATATACAGGGTGTCTCATTTAAGATAAGCGTTTTGACGTCAAATTCCTGTATAATCGGAAGTGCCACCATTTTGAGAATATTTCAGCCGGGTTGCCCTTATTGACATTAGTATACTGTCAAATTTTTAAAAATTTTCTGCTCACAGTTTTTCATGTATAGATCGATTTGTTTCCCGGTGGGACACCCTATAAGGGAAAAAAAATATGAATTAGTAACTACCTTGTCAAATATTTCGTAAGATATCCAAATTCTTGTATGAAATTTGTGATATTCTCCAAAGGTAGAAAACTAAAATCAAAACTACATATTCCAATCTAGTCCACGCAGGTTTTGAGTGTTCCACTGAACTTGACGCCTGAAGTCTTCCCTGAACAATTCACACTGAATTGGTAAATTAATAAGATGATCAGCTGACCAGTTACTTGATTTAAAATGGCAATTTCCTTGCATACAAAATCGCTGTCTTTACACTGAAAACCTTGAACCTCTATCTATCTTCTTTCGCTAGACCTAAAACACACGCACTGTGCTGGTCAATGAATTGTATCTCCCATAGAGGCTCCAAACGACCCCAAATATTAATCAAATAAAACTCTTAATAATGTACCAAGCACCCTGTATATATCGACTAGCAATTTCAAATCTCTAGGCTTTGGAGGGGGTGGGACCCAAAAATGAAAGTTTTAGTGCAAAAAAGATCTAAGAATAACTATTTGAACCGCATCTTGCTGCGATGGTCCGTTTTCGAGTTAGGGCGGTTTAAATTTACAACTAGGTGTTTGTGACGTCACACTAAATTATCAGGCACAGTAATAACACATGTAAAATTTTCCAAAACAAAAGACAATTATCTTACTAGAGCGAATCGCAATCACTCAAAGTATAGGTCGGTTCACTGACGACTGAACGAACACAAGACTGCGATTTCGGCGGTTGTGACATCACAAGTTGCTGCATAATTTATCTTCACAAGGAATTTTCTCGGAGACTATTTTGAATATAAGAATGCGGTTTTCACGAGAGATCTTTTTTTTTGCTTGATTTAAGTAACTTAAGTCGTTTTTCAGGGTCACACCCCCTTTAAGGCCGCCTCACAATTCGTGTTTCAAAATAATTACTTATTTGAAGAAACAGAAAGTTCTTTGTATATATTGCCGCGAATACCATCAAAATATAATGCGGGCCTGGAAAGTGGTCCCATTCGGTAGATGCACGTCGCCTAATAATAGAAGCCAATAGTCCTTTTCACGTGGCTCCGGTTGAAACTAACCGGGTTAAAAAACTGTTAGTAGTGGTATGTCAAGTGATGACGTCACTGAAAATGCCACTTGAAAACGAGTTAGAAAAATTTTATTTTTTCTACAACTGTCAAAAAAAGGTGATGTTTGCACACTGATGACAATTTGCGAAGTGACACTTTTTTTTCCAGGTAGATTTCTCTAAGTTTGCCCTGACGCCGTGCGCGAAATGATTCCCCAGTGTGCGAAATGCCTAGTTCGCCCACTGAGTCAGGTAACAAATACCTGACAGGAAACCAAAAATAATTGAAATTCACCTGCCTTTGATTGTAAATGCTTTTTCAGCTTCGAATGATCGATATTTAAATGGAGCTATAGAAAAAATATTATTTGCAATTCGTGCGCGAAATGTGCACCAAAATGGCATTTCGCGCACAAGATATAAAAATAAGTATTAAATTAGGCAATCCAACGACCTGTCAATATTTATAATATGATAGATGTACAAAATACTGGTGCAACTGGTCTTTATCAGTCAAAATATTGACAGGTTCACATATTCTAAGTCACTAACAAATTAATGTCAACATAGGCTAAGGCCATCCCGGCCTTAACCTATGAGCCATAGAGCCCAAAAATCCTATGTTAGGTGTGTGTTATCCTTTTCTATTTTTTTTGTTCTAACCGTTAAATGTAACCATATCGCCGAGCTGATTAGAGAAATGACATACCGTTTCCTAACCCGGTTACAAAGTGATATCATGGATACCACTCGAATTTGAGCGGTATGTCAGTGGGTATGTCACGGTTTGTTAAACCGGAGCCACGTGAAAAGGGCTAATGGGTTAGATAATTTCTTGAGTGTCACGACTTTCTCATTTCATTAGATACTATGCTATGCACAATACAACAATTAATCAATAAACTGCAAATTCTCCAAAGAAAAATGAGGAGCTTCATGTTCGTAAGTCTCCGACATACAAAGCGTCCAGTCATTTGGATCAGAAATATCACCACGTAACACAGCGAATCACAATGCGGCACTGAAATGGATACATACCAAAGGGTACAGATTAGTAATGGATGGACAAAGAAGTTAGAAAGTGGTGGCCGACCACAGAATCCAGACTTGCGACGCGCTAGATGAAACATACAGGGTGTCAATTTGAAAGCTACCGACCCCTATTGGCCCTATTTATTATCTAAGAAACGGAAAAGTTTAGAAAAAAATCCCTGAAACACTTCAACTCCTTCAACCCAACTCCTCCATTTCAACCCCCCAAAAAGTTTAGAATGGAGAGCGAAGTCAAATGATACTTACATTATTTCAAAGATCTTTCGACCTTTATTAAAACTGCCAAGTTTGAAGCATCTGCTGTCACCGCCGTTGATATGACTCTCAGAAGACCTTTGAAATATTTTTTTTATGGTATTAGGATATCAGCACTCAAGATTAGAATTTTTGAGGTGAAACTCACCTTTGTTAAGTCATAGCTTACCTTCTTCGCCACCAAAATTGAACGATTAGAAAATCAGAATTCAATTCTCAATAACACAATTAGTGAGGTTAGCTCTAAAAATTCAGCCCAAGATCAAACTAGAAATAAGGTCCTCTGGCACTCATCATACGTGTACCCACCATGTTTGAAATCGCAAACGTGGCAATTTTATTAACTACCGAAGGACCTTGGAAAGGATGTGGCTCTAGTTCTAGTTTTGTCTAGACTCATCCCCCTCTAAATTATAGTTGACGTGTTTCGGAGATTTTCTCTAAAATTCCCGTTTGTAAGATAATAGGGGTGAGAAGTTTTCAAATTGACACCCTGTATATTGGACAGATGAGGCTTACATATAAAGAGGCGTTTATTCAAAAATCCTATAAGTTAATGATGATGACGATTAAAAAAAAAAACAAATAAATTATCCTTATGTCCGAATATTTCATTCAACGGTATGTGAACGTAATCAGAAACTTTTTTGCTTGATTACTTTTTTCTATAATTTAGAAAGTAAGGCCATTTTCCGCCAACTTTGTATCAAATTAGTAAAATACGAATCTGATAGATACGTTATGTCACCTGTCAACTTTGAAATGGAGTATTTGAAGTATTTTTCCAGCGGAGGGTAGAGACACACCACTTAGTTTGTTTCCAATCACAATATTAGAAATATTTTTCCAGCACCATTAAAGAAGACACCGTACATTATTCTGAACTGATTTTTAGTAAGTGAAAAGTCATAAACTTGTAGCAACAGGGTATCGTAGGTACTTTTAGCAATACAACTTCAGCATGATCTCTGTTATTGAGGGCACGTCTGGGCCTAACAGCCGTTTTTACAGTTAAAAATAGGTATGTCAACCTCAACAGAGTCTCAGAAGCTTATTTCTACAGCCACTCGCGGCAAAAAAAGTTTCCGTACTCCCTTCATAGGTACGGAAAAAAGACTAGTTAAGTTCTTGGGACTTTTGCAATATTTTAAATGGTTCCTGCGTTTTAATTTTCTACTCTTGACAGAGTAGCGTTAACTGGCAAATGCAGGAATCTTTCCAAATGGTTCAAAGATGACAGATTTATGGATGGTAAACTGTACAATGTGTTCTACCCCTTTCAACAAGGGGCATTGAAATAATGCAACTAAAATGTGTTTAATCGAGCATGAAATAATAAACCCAATCAAAAAAAGAATATCAACTATACCTACCTACATACAAACAATATAAAGTTATAAAGATAATTATAGCTATAATAAATAAAGTTTATCAGGTACCCAACTGATAAATCTGCGTTATTTCGTCGATAAATTAATAATAACTATACCTAAACAGGCAAAACTAATAATAACTACATACTAACAATAATTAACAGTTGACTAATACTGAGAACTTTACAATTATACAAATTATTAATGAACGTTTACTTCTTAGGATGGTCAATTCGTGATATTTCAGAGAGGCTCCCAAAATTGCTCAAGTTGGGCGTCTGGGACATGGGATTCGGCTTGGGAAATTTCCGCAGGCTAAGATGGACTTGGGCGAGCGCCGATGGAAGATCCAAGACCGGCGTTGAAGTCATATTCACTAACGGCTTTGGACATTTATTCCAGGACGAATTCATTGAAGGCGTTGAGAACGATGTAGACGGAGTCATGAGCGACGGCGACAACGATCCTTTGGTAGCAATTGTATTATTTCGCTTGACCTTAGAAAAATTCGAGAAATTAATGTTTTTATAATTATTGTTCTATACTACCTTATTCAAAATATGACAACTTCAAGAAAACACTAAGCGATCAGTTTGTACTAATAAAAAATATGATTTATTGTGTTACAAGTACGATACCTACCAGATCCTCTAGTACGATTTCTAAATTTTTTCTAGATGTCTTACAATGTGTTCAAATTTAGAGTGGAAAGGTTTCTTTTGGGCTATATTGCCGTGGTCTGTATAAGTATTTTTCTCAACGTTTCTTCTACTGCTGCTTCTCTTCAGAGGCGATGAGGTAGAGAACGGAGTCTTGTCTTTGTTGCTTCTCCGATGACTGGATTCGCCCCACGGCCCCACCGTTTGTATACCCGGATTGTTGGACCTTTCCTTTGTTCTTATTCTCTTCGTTTTTCTTGAGGTTCATATCAATCTCTCTGTTGTTGGATGGTTGTGGATAGTGGTGTAGAAGTGTTTAGTGTTATTCGATGCTTGAGCCTGATCGAAACGAATGATGTGGTCATCCTGTTCAGCGATTGCTGATTTGTCTGTTTGTCTCTGCTGGCAATTTCTTCCATGTCCCTTGATTCTAGTGAGCAGCCGTTTGAGGCGCCTTTAACATCTTGGGAGATCTGAGATTTTGCTAGGAATGAAAGGACTTTCTTGCTAGCTGTACTGGTTTCTTGTCTCTACGTTGTTGTTTTGGTCGCATAGCTCTAAATATTTATTTTCGGCTTGAAGTATAGCCATTTTCTTTGAAGTGCTAATTTTAGATGTTGGATCTCAGCCTGAATATAGAGGGTGTTTCATTAGGAAAGGAACATATTTTGAATGCAGATAGGGGTGACTAAGAGGGTTCCAAAAAACCTATATTTGATTGGTCTATCGCCCTTTATACCAAAGAGACTTAAAATAATCAATTCACACCTAAACCTTTTTTATAAACAATTCGTGCGGAGAAATGAGCCACATTTTGGAGTAGCATGTTTCGTGCTAAATTAATTAACAAAAGAAACATTTTAAAATTTAAATATACAGCGTGGCTTTTCGGAGTAGACAGAATATGGAAGATTTTGACAAAGACGGACCTGGATTTTTTTCTAACTTGGTAAACTTGGTAAAACAAGATATTAGGTAGGTCACCATCAATAAGTATGCCAAATCTGAGAAAAAAATACGGGTCCGTTCAGAAGTTATAAGGGAATAAAAGAAGTAACAAAATTGATAAATCACCCTGTATCTCTGGTATAAAAAGCGACCCCTATCTGCATCCAAAATATGTCCCTTTCTAATGAAACACTCTGTATCTGGGTTCACAAATCCGAAATGACAGGTCAGAAAGATTTTTTTATGTCCCTCTCTTTCGTCTAAAATGAAGATCGAATTTCTTGTTGAAACATCTGTCTATGTGTAGACCCTGTGCCCTAGTTTACCTGAAGACAATCTTTCTAAGAGGACTTCCAGGAATTTTGTTGTCCTTCTCAACTTCCATCGTGAACTATATCCTGGGGTCGATAGAGTTCCGATGACTACGGAATCTTCTGGGACTACAAAAGCGTCATCGACATGGCGATACCAATTAGTAGATTTCTTTATCGGCGTCTGATACTAGACCAGTTGTTCTGAGTGTTCCATGTAAAAATTGGCGACCCCGGTAGTCGTCATCACAACTCCATCTAATTGTTACTAGTGAACAATGTTCCTATCCGTTCATCAAGAACAGAAACTTACATACTAATGTTGTATGGCTATTCTACTAGGTCGGGTTATTCCACTCTATTCTTCTGATCGGGGTCTATCAGATTTTCAACTCTTCTCCCATCCAACAACCTTTAGAGAATCTCCTCTCATGACGACGTCAAGCTTGAAAATTTGCTTGGTGACATCTTTCTTTTGGCGTTGAATAAATAATAACGGAGAATAGATATTCTTGATTAGTTGATAGAAAAAACTGGATTCAACGAAACGCTACGCTGCGTCAACCCATTAGACAAATTGTAAAAACGTCAAAAGTACTTATATGTAACTATATGCTCACTTCTTACTAAACTTATACTTATATTAGGCTTATCTGTACAACTGATGAAGCTTGGAGAAAATTAACTTTACTTCTTTTCCACTCATCAGTTTTAATTTTTACAACGCATGGGCTCAATCAATTCAAAAAACTATTGGGTTCACACAGAGAATACAGTATCATAACTAAAGTTGTAAAATTCTTGTCATTGTCTACAAAAGTTAAGAATACAGATAGGGAAAAATATTTTTTTTGTAAAAAAACTTTTAAGAACAAGTTACAAATATATTTGTAAGAAGACACTATTTTTTTTGTTTTTTTTGTTTCAGTATTTTCTATTTTAAAATAAAATTTCAACCTTCAAATTGTTTTATTGCAATTACTCCCATAAAATACCCATATTTCAAACAAGCATTTTTTTTCTCCTTCAACTCATGGTTCATGGTTGTTACTCATCAACAAAATTAAAAGTTTATTTTTGCTGTTTCATTATTATCAACCCATAATATGAGATAATCTTCATAGAAACTATCAAAAAGCTGGATTTTTGTGTATATACCTTTGATTGGCCGTTCCAATAAGTCCTTATCAAGATCGTGCTGCCCGTGTTATGAGATATTCAAGTCCGAATGTCACAAACAACGTGTTTTCAAGAAAACCTCGCTTGCCTTTGGCTCGGAGGTCGTTGGAGGTAGGTACTTTCGATGCATGATGGTTAGGTATAAGAAATAGATGCACTCATAGGAAATTTCGGAATCTCACAGTTTCATAAAAACCTTCATCAATCTACATGTGACATTTGAAATCGAATAGCTCGCAACGCTGGCACAATATCACCAGCTGACTGGGGGGTTTATATACATGCCTAAAGGCGGCGGTACTGGCTGTCAAATAAATATACCATGGGGGAATCAGATTTAGAGGACTCAGGAATCCAGTCGCAGTCGGTAAGTTGCACCAGAAAAAACAATTGGTAAAACGTGCATACAGGTTATGTAGGTACTGCAACTATAACTCTCTTCCTCATATGGCCTAGGTGCGATAATTCATTAGAAAAAATATTTACTTACATGTCTGAACTTATTGAAATTGGAATTTTTTTCTTAAACAATTCAATTTCCATCGGAATTGTTTTCCGCAGAAACATATTCACTGGCAATCTATTTTTTTTTTTTCTGAAAAATCAAAGTAAATGGGTACAAAACAATAATAGGTTCTTTCAATGTGAAAACGTTAAGGTTATAGGCCGGGGCCAATTTAAAATTCACGTCGTTCAGTAGTTCGAGCTAAAATGTTTCGTTTGAACCAAAAATGGAGATGGAATCGGCACTCGGCACAGGAAATACAATACGTGACGGGATGCAAATTAAAATACTGTTGCAAGACTTACCTCACGGCCCGGCCCGTGTGCTATCGCGATATCGAATTTAAATCTTTGGATATAAAAGATTTTGCCTGGAAAAATATTTGGTTTCTAGCGGCGCTATATTATAATGTGTACCTTTGTTTTCACTTCCAAAATGTGTGTGGCAGTAATATTTCCAGGAAAAAAATTTCAATAACGGAAAGTTACTAGGCAAAATTGAGATGAAATTTTTTTCTAGCATGGAAATCATTTCTACAGTCGGTAATTCCATCCAGGTTTCTGTTTGCAGAAAGAATGTATACAAGTTTCGTCTTCAAAAATATTTAAAGCCAAAATCTTCAATTATTGGAAATAAGAAGATCTTGAAATATCGGGACAAATTTAAATAATTTCGAAATATTCTTCTTATTTAAGTGCCTTGTCCTCTACGAACGTTGGCAATCATCAGCGCTATCTCAACTTTGTCGACTGCATTTCGCCATACCAATGACGCAAATTCTTTGGCCAAGATATTCTTCGACGTCTAGGGCCTCTTCTGCCTTCGATTTTTCCATCGATTATAAGCTTGAAAAGTAAGTATTTGTCATTCCTGAGTATGTGTCCGGAGACCTCGACTACACAACACGGACTTTTATTTTTACAAATGATGCTCTGGCTTGTTCAATCCTGGCACGGACCTCCTGCATATTATCCCATTCCTCATTAACCTGACATCCTAGGTATCTGTATGATTGGACCCGATCGTTGGTTTTGTACCTGAAGAATACCTCTTTCAACCTAGTTCTTACTAATCACCATTCATTTAGTTTTTTTGGGATTCAATTTTAATCCAAATTCTCAAGTAATACTTATAGGCTAGTCAAAATAGATGGTTGGGGTAGAAAAAATTAGTAACAAAGTGATCTCTGCGGAAATGAGTAGTCAATAGGGTCCGTATTAATCCCTCAAAAATCGCACTTTGTCGCATTGGTGGAACTTGGAAAAAAATGGCAGCCATCTTGATTTTTTCGAATTTATTGAATATTTCGTAAAGTATGCATTATATCAAAAAAACTCAAGAGAACTTTTTTGTGGAGAATCAAAAGTTACTTATATTGAAAGAGAATATTAGCTGAAAAACGAGAAATTTACTGACATTTATTTCATTTGGCAACATGGAATTTTTCAAAACATCTAAAAAAAACTCAGATAAGTATGTTTTTTTTGTGCAGAATGAAAAACTGCATTTAATGGAAGAAAAATTCAATAAATTTAAAAATCTAAATATTTTTGTTGAGAGGGAGCAAAAACACGTATGACAAGAGAAACATTCGGGCAGGAAACTACCCAGACTCAGACAGCACACAAAGTCTTTTTTAGGTCTGCCTTCTCCATTACATCTGAACGTCTGAAGACCAAAAAAAAAAGTCTAAAAACTCCCATAATAAGATGTCCTAAATTCACATTTTGAGGACAACTGAGCCATACTATTTCGTACAGGCCTAAAAGTGAATAATGGTTCATATATTCAAAAGAGATTCAAAGACTTCCTTTAGAAATCTCGTTGAAGACGTCTTTAGAATGCGTTAGTTGTGAAAGCAGACGTCTGTAAGGCATTGGGTTCTGTAACATACGTCTTCAAGATGTCTTTAAGACGCCCTAAAGATGT